GAATCCATCTTAATTGAACAAATCAACCCTACTCTAAACCAAAACCCTGGGGTGCCAAGATACCTCTTCTAAGTTGCGCAACAGCATCCGGTCATGTGACCTCTTTGTTCCATACTGTGCGTGTGTGTGTATATATATCCGTGTCAGTGTACTCTACTTGTACCTGATGATCACAAAACCTTGTCAAAACATTATACATTTGCTGTTATGTTAAATATATATTAAAGTTTTTCTTCATTATCCATTCAAGCCGTCTCCAAAGTGGGATTCTCGTCAATGAATCACATCCTTTTTATTTAAAAAAAGGACTGGAGCATGTGAGACTAATGCTTAGATAGACAAAGGCAATGTGGAGCAATAGTTAAAGTGTCAATGGAGGGTAAGTATGTTTTGGAATAAAGATTTCATGTACAAAAGCTACCAATACCCCAAAATATAGTTTCCAGCAATAGGGAATGGACAAAAGTAAAAAAAGAAATAATCAAAATTTGCATACTCTGTCCTGTTTTTCTTTGGCCTGCTTCTTAAAATGCTGAAAACTATCTAAAGCCGATGTCTTTTTGTTTCCACAATGGCTAGTACTTGGGATGTTACTTACATTCTGTGCCAGACTTGACCATGAACCAAAATTCTTTAACTTTGATTCAGTCTGTACATGAAAAAATATTAAATTCAATAGTAATTTAGAATACAAACAATGTAATAATAAATTACAGAGCATAAATATACATTTCACCTGATAAAAACACCTCAGTATTTTATTTTACTAAGTACAGAGGGTTTTCATATACTTTTCATGTTTAATTCTTTAATATGTACTTTTGATTTGGTATAATATTCTACATTTGAAATTAAAATTTTAAAAATGATCTAACTCTGCTATTGTCTAGTGAAGCATAGCTTTCATTACCTAAAATTTAGGTTAGTTAGATGTTTGTATGCTAACAGTCTTTGTTATTCAGCAACAATTATGATTATCGTGGCTCAGGTTTAATGGTACCTTAATTTTTAAAATTTAGAATTTTAATGTTAGATTTGTAATGTTCACAGTTCTTGTTATCTATATAATACTGAATGTTAAAAATTACTGCTCCATCTTCAAATAATTTTACTGTTTTATAAAATTGCTGTTAGTATATACAAACTTCTTACATATTTTCATAATATACATTCTCTTTAGTAGAGATTTCATGAAACTTTTTTTTTTAGTAACAGCTCAGTTTAAAATATTTCATTGCATTAAACAAAAACATGGTTATTATAATATTACTGGCCTACATGTAAAGAGAGATTTGATCAGCTCTATAAATTGATTTTATGTGACATAGCTACGCATCAAAGTTTACAGTTTTTCAAAAACTATTTATTGTTTCTGTTAAATCCCTAATTTCACCTTATAGACAGAAATCTGACTAAAGTATATTGACTTGGATCTCTTCACATCAAATTATTCTTATAAATTATCAATATGCTTTTATGATTTATATATGTTTATGATTCTAACTCTCACTCAATCCATAAATCTTAAATATTTAACTGTAGTGTTAAATTTCCCTATAAATGGTAACAATGCTATCTAAATGATCAATATCTTACAAGTTATACATTTTGATGATTCTAATTCTCACTCAATCCAGAAATCTGAAATACTTACTTCAGTTTTTGATTTCACAATGAATGGTAGCAGTGTTTCTTAAAAGATTTATTTTCCTAAGTTTTTAACTTCCACCAGAAGCATTACAAGTCATACATTACTAAGACATTAACATGATAAATTCTAGTCTGGTGTCTATCACCACAATAGAAAAATAAATATCTCCAACTATATATATATATATTACAGCATTATAATCAATGAATTTTTCTATTTAACTCTATCACAATCTTGAGCACCCTTCAAATTTTAATAAATGATTATGATTCAAGCTCTATTTAAACAATTTTTGTTTCAAAAAAATTTTAGAAATGATATTTTATTATTTTTTAACATTTATTTAGAGTAATCCAATAATAAAAGTGAAGAGTTTTTTTTCTCTGCTCATCCCAAATTATAGGTTTATATTTGACAATAAACTATCTTTGAAATTATGAATAATGTCTCATTTTTCATGTGATTTCCTTACTCTGTTAACACATTTATTACTACAGCCATTTTTTTCCATCATTTGTTGGTGTCACAGCATGTGATCTGAACAATTACTAATGAAGCGTAGCTTTGAAAACAGCTTGAGCACATGGCTAAAACAAATGAATAAAACAAACTGATAACAATCTAGTTACATCAATGCAGAGCAAATAAAGTGTTTAGGGTTTCTTAAGATACTGGCCATCCAGAGTTCCTGTAGGGGTGAACAAAGGAATCTAATGGAATGTTGAGAAATGAAGAACAAGCCATAGCTCTTGGAATTTCTTTATGAGTTCTTTAAACATTCTTTTCCTTCTTGAATATTTTTTGTGTTACATTATGCCTATTTGAAAGCCAAAGAATCCTACTTCTGTGACAATACACCAAGGAATTAAAACATTTACACTATTTTAAAAAGTGGCCCTTGGTCACCAATAAATCTCTTTTAGTCAGAAGTGGTAAGTACTGCAATCAGCAAAATAAAGTAACAGAGAAAATGTGTTAATGACTTTCAAACAAGTTTAAACTGACTAGATATATAAAAAGTAACTTTGTGATCATAAAAAAATTAAATTCAAAGATGAAAGGCTGTATTTCTATTTTTCAAACCAGTTTCATAATCTAATTTCACAACCTAAAGAATGATAGAAATACTAAAACAATTATTTTTGTATTTTTTTCAAAAGCAAAAACCAAGTACTCAACATCATGCAGTTTAAGTATTTCCACTGTGAGAAGGGTAAAAAAGGGGGGATACCAGTGACACCTCTCAGTCTGGAAAAGGTTTAATGTATTTTTGAGTGTGAACTTAATATTATTGGACAATTTAATAATCACTTAGAATGAGTATAATCTATGACTCATCAAAATAAAAGATATTTGTCTTCTAGATGACTGGAAGTTTAAAAAAGATTTACAGTATTCATTTGAACAACACTTTACTGAATGTTCTTCTTAAAGATTTTATATTAATTCCAAATAACATTTAAAGTTCCCCATTGTAAAACTGTGGAAGTCTGTGATATCTTTCAGAGCACCTTTTTCAGTCCGGGTGTGGAGGTCTGCAAAGGTTTAAGTTCAGTCTTTTTATCCTCTGTAGTTTCTGGTACTGGGAGAGTTGTTCCTAATTTAAATATAAACTATATTAATAATAAAAGTTTACTTCCAGATAATTAAAAACAAAACCTAATATTTGAAATCTCTCCCTAAACACATATTTATTGTGCTTAAATTATGAATATCAAATACTGTTCAAATAATTCTGTAAGAAGATATAAAGCTGAAGAGCAATTTTGTCTTTTATTTAATTAGGCTAATATCATTGTTACCACCAACTGGAAATTATAATATGTATTCATTTTAGATTCACAATATAAAGTTACATTCATAAAACATTCTGTATAACTTAGTTACATTCAAATAACAAATTACATGAGTTAGATCCGATGTTCATTAAACTTTGGTTTATGACACAAATCTGAAAAGGTAATTGTTGCACAGACGTAATAATAAAAGAATAATTTTTTTACTTCGCTGTTTCCGGTACATTTGAGTAAAATTTCCAAAACACATATAGAGAAACCATTAATCTAAATCTTTGAGCAACATTTCCAGTGACAATAAAATTACAACCTTCTAGTTCTGAAAAAAAGACTATACTTTTCCCAGCAATCATGCCGTATCTCTTTCTTTCTTTTACTTCTTAACAATGACCCTACAGTTATGTTTCCACGAAACAAAGCTTCTTCTGAGAACAACTCTACAGCTTCAAGGTATATCTTTAAGCAGATTCAAAGTCACAAAAATTCATTGAAGATGCACTAGGTGACATCATTTTTGTACTATGCTAGGATTCATTTGTAGAACAATCAGCATTAGCTACTTTGTTTGCAAAGAGAGAGTTTCCTGTAATTTTAACTACAACTTTCCTCTGTAGCCAAATCCTGCAACTACTATAAAGTATTTTTAACAAATATTCCTTGCACTTACAGTACTGTATATGATATTGTCCATCACATGGATGGTAGTATAATATTCTTTGTTTTTTTTTGTTGCTATAATCCTCGTCATAAGTTGCTATAAATTTCCATTTCACATGGTATCTCTCGTGCAGTTTCCTGCTACTGATCTTGCTCTTTAAAATATGCCTTGCTAAGAACTTGTGGAACTTTCATCTACTTCAAATCCTTGTTAATTATCTGGTTAACTGTAATAGGATATATACAATGTCTTTTTTAAGGTTGGAGGGTTCTCTTCTGTAACCACAATCTTTACTTTGAGAATAAGTCCATTAGGACTGATTAGTTTGTGGTGTGGTTTTAGAGCCCCTGCCACCCAAAATGCTTTGTTGCCAATTCATTTTTACAACCCCTGCATCATTTGGCTTTACTTTATTTAACCATCTTGCTGTAAAAATACTTATCTTTGGAAAAAGTAATCACAAATCTCTAGCCACCAATTAAGCTTTATAGAATTTTACAAAAGCCCAGTCAATGCAGTCAACTTTTATATATATATGAAACAGATGTCTATCACATGCTTCCAGATTGCAGTACTAAAAACCATCACAGCATTCACAGGGAAATAATAGCTAACATATATGCATTTCCAGAATCCTTAAATGATCCTCCATATTAATAAAGAATTGATCCATTTTTAACTTACACCTTTGCCATTATATATAAACAGTTTACACAATTAATGAAAAAATCTAACACAATGAATATCATAGAGCAACAAATAAGATCTTACCCATTACATCCTCCAAAAAGTCATCAGGAAAATGTTGAGGAGGAGTAATGTCCAAGGATGAGAGATCATCTTTTCTGAGAGAACTACCTGTACTTAAATTGGTGGATTCTACAGGAGAAACTACAGTTTGTGCCTCAGGAACAACTGGTTTCGTTTCAACAGGCACAGGAGATTGAGGAGTAGAATCAATATAATTTGTACTTTGTGTAAATGATCCAGACGATGTGGACATGTTTTGCAAAGCTGACTTATCATGCTGTGGAGTTGTCGTAACGGGAACTCCCTCATTTGTAGCTGAAAATAGAGAAACCATACAGTTACGGCTCACCGAAATTTTTTACAAAGCTTAAAACGTGACAAACACTTTAATTTGCTATAGTTACTGCTTATTTAGAAATCGATACACATTCCAATTGTTTAGCTAATTATTCTATTTGTACAAAAAAAAACTACTTTGTTGTTATAAACTATGAATTAAGTCTTTTAAATTTATTATATGGTTTCCTTTAGAAAATTAAATAACATTCTTGAAATTCGAATTTTACGTGATACCTGAAGCGCGAGGTGTAGTGGGAACAATGTTTTTCCTTACAGGGGCAGGTGTGGCTGTAGCAGAAGGTCTAGAGGGTTGTTGAGGCAAACTGTGACTGGCAACAACGGGGGCTCTACTTAGAGGAAGAGAATTTGGTTGGGGCAGGGCAGCTGTTGAAAAATGCAGATGGAACAGTAAAGGTTACCTCTTTCAATCAGTTTTCATAAACAATGAAGATCACCAATAAAAAAAATGTGATTTATTACAGAGAAACAAATAAAAATCTTATTACATTTTCATAACTGATGATGATATATTTTAAGCTTGACTGTACACCAGTAAAAACATGATTTATCTCCAACAATACTTTTTTTTTAAGTATTGCAAATCAAGCTAATAAATATTACTTTCTCGATAAAAATTAAACTTATTATAAATAAACGTACATTTTAACGTTAATACATTTATCATACTAATTCCATTCAGAAATCAGCTAATTTTTTACAATTTTTTAATCTTATTGTTGTTGCCTTATGCCCAAAATTAAGTATTAGATCTTGGTTAACAGTAAAAAATAGTGAATTATTCAGACAGCTGAGTTAAGCTTAAAATGTAACTAATGGAATAAAACTATAAATATAATATGTAAAAATCCAAAGAACATTTTAAAAATATAAGAAGTTTACTTACATAGAAACATAACAATAATGATCCTTGTATTTTACTATGCAACAATAAGAGCCTTGTATATTCATTTTTTAAATATTAAACAACATTTCTTGATGCAAGCATTCATCGTTAAATTCCAGTTATTTATGAAAGCCAAGATCAAGATATTAAGCTGTCAAGTTTTCATTTATGTTTATTCATATCAATGTCTGGTCCCATGTTCTACATTTTATAAGCAAATGCAATCCAGTTTTAAAAGCAATTTGACTATCTATAAAAAAAAGTTAAACTAGAATTTGTAGAGACAGACATAATAAATCCTAGACCATGCTGGTTACAACTGGATGATATCTGTCACCTTCACAGTCGAAATTGGTTCACTGAGAATTTTTGCTAAATTTAATATTATAACAAAGGTAGGTTAACAGTCCCTGAGATGGACCAGATAAAATGCTGCAAGATTAGATTAATTGTGTTTAGTTATTGTTCCAAGACAAGAATTTATTAGATGAAAAATGTTACCAATTATATCACCCATCTCTTAGCAACTAGGCATTTTGTATTCCCAGGAACTAAGGTTTTGTTTGAAGGTTCACTTATTAGCCAGGAATTCAAAGATAGTTATACACATTAGCAGAGTAAGGCAGTATTCAAGCAGTGTCTGAACAGTAATCACAAAATAAATGTTATTCACAAGGAAAATGTAATTTCAATAATGCTGAGTACTTAAGCAAATAGTTGTATTAAAAAAACACAAAACATTCACATAAACACACCACCAAAATGTTATATGAAGCAACTCCTTCAGTGCACTGGAGCAGACAATTAAGGTGAAGCATGGGTGGGGAGGATTTACATTTAGAGGTTGCTTTGCTTAAATAAAATGTACTAAATTCCTAATGTACAATATGTAAGAAAAGTGTTAGGGTAAAATATAATAAGTAATTTTATTTAACTGCAGTTCTTTTAAATGGAACAAAGAAGGGTGTTCTTGCAATGCAAGCTTACTATACACAGCTACGAGTATAACATGTAGCATGTAAACATGCATTTTCTTAAATATAAAAACACTAGCGCTGTTTTAAATAATGTATTTTTTAACTACATGTGAATGTTTCACTTCATTTTTATGGATTAGTTGTAAAATAAATGATTTTTAATAAAAATAATTAACTAGTAGTTATGGTGATTTCACCAGCAAATTATAAAAATGAGTAATAAAAAAGGTTCAAACTTTTGTTTCATAAAGTTTTCTGAACCTCCAAAGACCAATTCTACCTTTAATTACAGCCCTACCACGAGCCAGAGAAAATTGGGCAAATATCAAAATTTCATATTTGATTGATTTGTTGCATGTTTTACTGAAGAATGGCTTATAAACATACGTGATTGGATTCAGTGTGAAAAACCCCTTCTTAAAATATGCCCATACGTTAAAAGCAGGGGCTGTTTCCAATATAAACTTTGGAACTGCATTAAAAACCAAAAAACCAGAACTAACTAACCTAGTTGATTTATGTTTGGATACATTGCACCCAATACTGGAAGTTGAGAAGGATGGTCTGCATATTGAGTAGGGTGAACAGCTGGAGCTGCAGGTTGCTGATACCTGTGTAGAGCTTGTCCTCCACCAATGTTCTGTTGATACGACTGCTGGTTGGAAGGAGTTGTGGCTGTAGTGGTGAGATGCACACCAGTAGTAACCACTGATGAGGAAGTGGTGGAAACTGAATATGTAACCACTTTTTCTCTAGTTTTTGATGTGAAAGTCTAAAAAAAATAAAAATTCATAATTATAAGTAAAACAAAAGTTTTTTCAAAAACCTTTTCATTATATGATAACCTAAATGTTCATGATTTGATTTGGTTTGATAGAAACTACAGAAATTACCTAGATGCACTCAGATTTTCAAATCATATACCCTGTTCTAAGTTTTGTAATTATATGCACACATATTTCAACTATATGAAATTTGTTAGCTTGGTGGTTTCATACTAATTTCACCCTTCTTGAAATATTTTTAAGAGCATCCAGTTACAGTATGTTTTGATGAAGCTACTAGCCTTTATCTTATAGATTTCATACCAAAGAAAATTATGGGAACCTCTCAGAAGACTTTTACTGAAAGACTTCACTCAGGTGTAGTCTCCTTAGTGTTAAAATTCAAATGATTGCATGACTGAATGTCAACTTCAAGAAGGAAAAAATTAGATTTTTTTCTTCATAAAAAAAAAATACTCGTTCCCTATTACTTTAAATTAATTATTAAGTTTTACCACTACTGAAAATGTCATTTTCATAATATTTTTTCACTAGTATGTTGAAACCAGTATTGATCCATCTTAACAATAAAATCTAAAGCATATCAAAACCATTTCAAGTGGTTAAGGAAATTACTGTACTGGGTTTTCTCATAAGTCCAGACCCACAAATGGAGTGTATTTTTTATTAACGGAGGGAAAATATGTACTGATTATTACAAGAAAATGGATGTGTCAAGCAGAAGGTCTGTAGTTCAAATTAGAAAGAGTTGTGGCTGTAGTGGTGAGAAGCACACCAGTAGTAACCACTGGTGAGGTAGTGAATATGAAACCACTTTTTCCCGAGTTTTTGATGTGAGAGGCTAAAAAAAATACTAAACATTTATTAATAATTCCAAGTTGCTTTGTTTAAATGAAATTTACAAATAGTTGTATTAAAAAAAACACACAAAACATTCACACAAACACACCACCAAAAGTTTATATGTATCAGCTCTTGTGCACCGGAGCAGACCATTAAGGTGAAGCATGGGTGGGGAGGATTTACATTAAAAGGTTGCTTTGCTTAAATAAAATGTACTAAATTCCTAATGTACAAGATGTAAGAAAAGTGTTAGGGTAAAATATAATAAGTAATTTAATTTAACTGCAGTTCTTTTAAATGGAACAAAAAAGGGTGTTCTTGCAATGCAAGCTTACTGTACACAACTAGTTAATTTATGTTTGGATGGTCAGACTTGGAAGTTACAAAGTGTTTTTCTACGCAAAATATGGAAAAAATCAACCATATGATCTGTCAACCTCTTTTTATTTTAAGGAGTGTTCTCCTACAAAACTACCTAACAGAAATAGTCTGGGCTACTTCAGCCACCTAAAAAAAGACTTTGTATCTAAAAGACGTCTACTACATTCTGTAGTATGGAAAACCTATTAAATGAACCATTTAGTGAAACAGCACAAACAGTTTATAAAATATCTTATAAGTTGAATGTCTGGTGTAATTTGTTAAGCTTGAAAAGCTATCTTGCTATTCTAATCTGAGGTAAACAGGTAAAAACAGACTGAAAAGCCAACACAATCCATCAATATGGCATGTGGCTGAAGCCTGTTTTTAAGAGATTACTTAAAGATGGAAAAAGAGATTAAAAGTTCTGCAATAATCAGCAGAACCATGGCTGAGATGGTCATCACAAAATCTACCAATTTCAAATGAAACACTTAAGAAACCAGCTGACATAGTGAAAAGCATAAAGAATAAGCCCATCTAATCTTTATAGGTCATATGACTGGATCAGTTACAGAAGGCCAGTACGCTGTACTTTAAATCAGTTGCTTCACACATTACCAACAGCATACAAATCAGTGAAGAGTTGTTTTAATTAATGTAAAATGTACAAATAAAACAGGTATTAGATTAGAGATGCTTAACTTCCAAGACAAGACAGACCATAAAATAAATATTGCTACTGATAAACCATAGAGCAATAAAGAAGCTACTAATGTCAGTCAGCCCACAACTTTTTTAAATGCCTAAGTAATAAGAAATGTTGAAATTATTTATGCATCACCTTAAAGAAAAAAAGAGATCAATGATAGGACTCTAGGATATAAAAAATGTGAACCAGTGCCAAAATTTCAGAACTTCCTTGATTCTTAAACCAAGTACCCAGGGGAACAAGAACAAACTGAAAAAGACTTATTGATATTGAATATGTACAATCCATGGTTGTAACTTAAGTAGTTGAATGGTTGCAAGCTGACAGGATAAGTAGTCAGAATGAAAGTAACTGCAAGAATTATCATGATGGATACCACAGATGGCAAACACTATAAGCTGAGAAAGAAGATATCTTCATGTTCCTTTAGAATACATATTAATAATAAAAATAGTTGAGGAGATAAACACCCAAAATACTTATAGTATTGCGAGCTTGGTAAGTATGTGAAAAGGGAAATAAAATCTGCAATGACACTTTATAATAACATTTACAAGTTCTTCAAAATATTCAAAATTTTTGGGGAAAAAAAGGTCCAAAATAATTGCTAGTGTAACTGAAGAGAGATAATATTCCATGCCACAAAATACATAGTTTCTAAAATATATGTCAAGCACACCTACACATGAAACATTAGAAAGATGTAATGACAGAACCAAGTAGTTTTAGCAAGGTTACAGTGTAGCTCATATTTCAAGGAGGTTAAAAGAACTACATAATAAATACCAAAAGGCAAGTTCAATATACACTATCTGAGCACAATTCTTACTGAAGAGTAAAAGAATTTACAATCATTTTAAAAACTTTACTTAGTAGAATTATAGACGAAACTAAGATTGCAGTTATAAACCTGAACTAAATACACTAGATTGCACAGTGTGCTATCTTATTCCTGCTAACTATTAAGAACCGTTCCATGTCTATTATTTTAAGAAAGACTTTCACTTACAAGCTGTTAATTTTTTTTAAAAAGTAGTCCAGAATGATGGCTTAAATTAATATAAATAAATTTTAATTATACAAGTATTTCTGTAAATTATCTACTGAAGGAATTTATTACACTTTTCATGTGAATATAAAATGTGCTTGTTGAACTGAAGAGTAATATTTAGTCAAAAAGTAATGCCAAAGTATTAATTCAAAAAATTAATAAATACTTATATAATTACAAAAACTCCTACAACTCTGAATTAGTTTCTTGTTTGAAACACTTAGTGAAGCTACAACACAAAATACATATATTAATAATCTACCTTCTTTCTGTTGGTTGCTTTCTTTTTCTTCTTTTTCTGAATGCCTGCAGTTAAAAAATTTTCCGGTTATTACAGTTTACTCTAAAAATACAATTTCTTAATTGCGGTGTTAAGTATTAATTAAATTATAAAACCCATGCCACTAACAAACAGCTTTTAAATCACATTTTTTAAACTATTTCTGCACTTAACTGTTTGTGGGTCCATGACTGTTGGTTAAAGATCTCTAACAACATGTGTGACACACGTGTGCAAAATGTCAAAAATATAATAAATATTTCGGTTAGTCCCGTCAACAACTACTGGGATTTCCTACTTGTTTTACATGCATAGTGAATGATTTTATCCAGTTTGTTTCATGGATTTTACATTGAATGCTGTAACACGCAAATATAAAATTAATCAACATAATGCAGTATGTGATCTTCACTGGTGGTGAACAATATAAAACAAGTCAGTAATCTGAAGGTTAAGTTAGCAGAGTAACTTAAATGATATTTTTGAAGTTAGCTCAATAAAT